GCGCTGAAAGAAACCATACGTGAGGTATACCGACGCTGTACTGATTGTGAAAAGAACCAGATCAAGCGCTACGGTTGGGCACCCCTAAAAAGTGTGACAGAAGACCGACCGATGCGCCGAGTCATAGCCGATTTGGTTAAACTCCCGCGATCCAAGCATACTGGCGATGTATATATCTGTCATTTCTTATGTGTGGCTTCGGGCTATAACTTGCTTTATGCAATACCAAACAAACGCCCGCAAACAGAGGCAGAGTTATGCTATCACGTCTTTAATGACTTCGGTTTCCCCCGAGCACTATGTTTTGATAACGGTAGTGAGTTTGTACTGACGTAATGGAGGCACTTATACTTGTATCCGGCATGACCCATAGGCGTGGTGTTCCTTATAAACCTCAAACGCAGGGTGCAAATGAGACGCGTCATAGAGAACTAAAGAGGCTATTGAGTACCGCACTAGATGACGTTGAGGATATGTGGCCTTATCATTTGAAATGGGTTCAGACTCAAATGAATAACTGCATGAATCCTCAAACTGGAACACTCTCGTTTCACTATTTCTTTGGCCGCTATAGTGAATTACAAGCAACGTTTGACAAAACTGCGCCCGAGAAACACGTTCCTCCGTGGCTACAAAAGATCAAGCATATGCAGAACGTTTTTTACCCTTGTTTACTCGAGCACAAAAATCGTGTCCTACTTAAAGCGTATGACCGGTAAAATAACACTAAGAACATTGTTCAGTTTAAAGTTGGCGATATGTTAATATTATAAATCGCAATGCCAACGTTACCGAACTCTCTTCTAAGACAATTAGACCTTTTGATATTTCCTACCATGATGAGAAGTGTGATACTTACGAAGTGAATAACATAGATGGTACTAGCATAACTAATCTAGGCACTAACCGTATCCCAACCTCCGAACTCTCATTTGCTCGCTCATTTGATTCTGATGTCCCAGTTATGGAGCCACAAGTCAAAGATATAATTGACAAAACATTCGAAGACGGTTACACTTACCATAAGACCCGTTTTATGGATGGGACAGTAGCTTGGCTAACCTCCGATGCGTTTCGTGAATCTCGCGACTTCCTTCGTATTTTTAATAAGAAATGGAATAAGCGTTTACATAAGAACACACGAGATAAACGGAAAGGGTTTCCTCGGGTGACTACAAACCCGGATGGATCTGAAATTCCCTATTTGCCACCTACTTCCTGTGTGACTAAATTTTCTGATCTGCTTACCAACAGAGCAGAAAATTATTCGAGCTTACTTACTAATGAAGAACAACCTTTGACTATTATCTTACCAAGTAATAAACGTAAGGCGCCTACATCGTAATTGGTTACTGGACCAAATACTAAACGACATAGACTACAACATGAGTCTTGAACTCGTACATATAGGCACATACTTACTCGATATGCCATGACCGAAACCGTTTTACTTTGGCTTTCGCTTTACGAACTAGATCGTACCTTCACGTACGTCCGTAGTCCTAAAAGCAACTGGGGGCAGCTACTGGGGGCTATGTAGAAATACGGCCTCCGGTCAGTCTAAAACATCAAGATAACACATTGGTTTTCAATTGTATTGAAAATAATCTAATACAAGTTCTCTTTCCAATATTTCCAAAGTGTTCTAAATTCACTTTGATGGCTCCAATAGCCCGAGTATTTGGTGTGACTCATTTACTTGGACCTATTTGAGACGATAGTAGATGTAAAATATTATAAACATAATTTTATAATATCTGAACTACTACTTACAGGTTTTTGTCTTCCCGCCAATCTCCAAAATCCAATAAGTCTTTTTCAGTTTTTTTACTTTTCTTCAGATTGAACTTTATATATATTAGCTAATGTATTAACTTGACTTACGTTCTTATGTCTATCTGTAAAAGCCTGGCCTCTGTATTAGAATCTTGTAATATAAACGTACTCTTAATAGTACGTAAACCGTACTCTTAAAAGTATGTAAACTTAACTTTTCCTTAAATGGTTTTTAACGGTTTTTATTAATTAAATATCTTTTCCATTTTACATATCAGATATTTGGACAAGGCCATTAAAAGGCCCCAGTAAAATACCAAACATAAGATTTGGTCTAGTTCTATTAATAGAACTATATTTACTTTCCAAATCTATTTATATCTGAACACTTCGGTAGCGAGACGGCTCAACCGAACATAGGTTTCTAAGGACTATTAGCGTTGCTATGGACAGCAGGAGTATTTTTCTTTTTTCTAATATTTTTCTTCTAAAGATAGGATTTTATGAGTCTCTCAGATTCTCCCCAACGAAACGTACCATAGTTTCTAATAGAGCGACAACGAAACACTAAATAAAATCCCTTCGGCGAAAACAGTACCGAGAGGATTATATATAGGCAATGTCTCAGCCTCACAATCCCTCAGAGTATTGCTGTTTTCACGAGGCATACCTGACTTTACTAAAAGACTCCTTTCGTGTATTTACATTGAATTTAATTATACTTAGACTTAACTTAAGCGTTTAAATACTCTAAGGCGTTAATATCGCCTTGATAGACCGAAAATTACACATTTTGAAGTTAGCAAAGGTATTAACTACTTAGACTACTTAAACGTAAAGGTAGATAACTATCACTTTTTTTTCTTCCTAAGCACAGTCATTTATTCCTTAAGAGAAAACGACTGAAGTGATAAGTCAAGATTATGACAAAGAAAGACAAGACACCTGTAAAGAAACGCCAAGGCCGAACGTAAGAAGATGGAGAGAGAAGCCGCTAGCGCTGCCGCAGAAGCAACCGCCGCTGCTGCCGATGCGTTTAACCGCACTGTAGCCGAGGCACTTGTCTCCAACATTGATAGTCAGCACAATGCTTCGGATTAGGATGTAACCACTCCGATTAAGGAGACTACTCCTACAGATAGAGCCCGAGGGGCAACTATTGCCTCAACTTCGAAGCTCGCATTGACGAAGCCAAGATGTGAGACAAGGGACACGTCTCAAAACGTCCCACCCAATTCTTCTGACGAAACTCAGAAAGAAAAGCCCCCAATTATAGGGGACAAAGACGAATCTCAAAAGGTACCTATACTGGAACCAGAAGAGGAGACAAACTCAAGTGGCAAACCCGAATCTACGTCCGAGACCACTGAGCCAACGCGCATAAGTAAGTTAATTACTGAAAACACTGATCTTAAGAATTAGTTAGCCAACCTTAAGAAAAGCAGGACTGTTGAACATGTAGATCGAATGTATGGATCAGGAAAACACGCACAGCACTTACGCGAACATGTTTCTCCGGGCACTACTGCAGCCTTACAGAAGTGGACAGAGCGCCGGCTGGCAATTACACCCGGAAAGTGTAAGGACCTGAGCGCCAAACCTGTGGCAGTTGACCCAGATGTGCTCATTGTATCTATACCTTACGAGGTACTACCGCCAGAACTCCAGGCTAATTATTCGCCTATTCTAACACCCGGACATGTAATAGCCGGGCCTCCACATTAGACTCTATGTTATAAACGTACTCTTAAGCAGTACATAAACTATAAACCTACTCTTAATAGTACGAGGAACTTAAGTTTCCTAAATGGGTTTTAACGGTTTTATTAATCAATACCTTTTCCATTTTACCTATCAGATATTTAGACAAGGCCATTAAAAGGCCCCTATAAAATACCAAGCATAAGATTTGGTCTAGTTCTATTGATAGAACTATATTTACTTTCCAAATCTATTTATATCTGAATACTTCGGTAGCGAGATGGCCCGACCGAACATAGGTTTCTAAGGACTATTAGCGTTGCTTAGTGTATCCTCCGTTTAGCCAACCAGATGTGCCAGTCTGATGAAGGCTAAGTCCGTAATTCTTGCTAAGTGGCAAGTTATTGGTTAATGCAATTACTATGGACATCAAAAATATTTTTCTTTTTTCTATTCTTTTTTTTCTAAAGATATGATTTTATGAGTCTCTCGGATTCGCCCCAACGAAACATACCATAGTTTCTAATAGAGCGACAACGAAACACTAAACAAAATCCCTTCGGCGAAAACAGTACTGAGAGGATTATATATAGGCAATGTCTCAGCCTCACAATCCCTCAGAGTATTGCTGTTTTCACGAGGCATACCTAACTTTACTAAAAGACTCATTTCATTTACTTAGACTTAACCTACGCGTTTAATTACTCTAAGGCGTTAATATCGCCTTGATAGACCGAAACTTACACCAGGAGAAATGCGGTCGGGGAAGATAAATCCGAAGCAAAGGGCAGCGCACTGAAGCGACCTATAGGCGAAAAGGGACGCGTAAATAAATAAAACATTGTTTTAATCTATTGTATTAACGTATTTACAGTGTGTTCTTAACGTACGTACAAAGTGCTCAATGCGAGATTGTGTACAGATGTCTCGACGTATGAAGTCGTTGGAGGTGTCTATAGTAGCGATTTTGGCATGCACGGGCGCTTGCTCGGTTAGAACGCGCCGATGATTAATTTATGTTCTTGTTCGAAAACATGGGTGTCGGCGCGGTGTGGAGGTGTGGTACGATTGACCGTGCCGTGTGCCAATAGCGCTGAGATATAGCGTCCGCAACCGTGTTAGCAACGCCTGCTATGTGCACACTAGTGATTTCGAAATCATAGGGCGTTTCAGTTTCTGTTAGCATGCACAAGAGATTTAGCATCTCTTGCACTATGGCTGCAACGGCGCCCGTGTTGTCCGACAAGATGTTCACTGTATGCCCCTGTTACAGGTGTTCAAACATCTCTAAAGTGTTGTGAGTAGTTCCAGCGCCGTAATGGGGAAGAGCTTTTGATCCTCTGCTTGCTTGCGGTGATGATGTGCGGCCCATGATATAAAGTATCATTCTCCTGTTGAAACATATTCGCCTTCGTTAAACGAGGTGCATGCATCGACAGCGACTGTTGCTTGTGATAAAGTGGACGTGTGAGTAGCGATGAGCCCGACCAATTTTGCAGCATGCGCCACGAAGCGACATCTGCTCAAACAGCAGCTGCGATGCGAACGTATTTATGCGGCTGCGGGTTGTTTCGCAAACGCCAGAGGATGCGTGGCGTGTATGGGCAAGCCTGAGGGAAAATTGCACATAGCCATATAAGTCGCCCTCCGAGTGGGACAACCTTGCGAGCAGTAGCGGCGCGCTTTGTAAGCCAGTTGTGTAACAGCTCGGAGTAAGCCTTCCTTTTAAGGTCTGAGAGACCCACAGTGCGGGCAATCATATCCAGTAATACGCCAATGTATTTCAGACGCGTGACGTCGATTGCTGATTTCTCGAACGCTACTGGAACTTTTACGAGTGCAAAAAGGGCTTGAAGCTTGGCTGCGTCGCAGGCACCTATAGCAGGGAGGTAGGTGGCTATGAAATCATCAACGAATCGGTTAGTATCGAGTTTGGTAGCTGGGAATATAAAATCTAGTGTAACGCCCAAACGTTCAAATAATTCGGGATTACTGCGAAGCCCAGAAGGGAGTGCGCGCTCAAAATAGGCTTGACCCTTAGAGACGAATCCCACCAGTGGTATGTTTGTTCCACGTATCTTGAAAAGGCGAAAGGCCGACCGAATGTCGATAACTGACATTGTGGATCCTACAGGCGCAGCAGTAACGGTGTCTAGAACTTCTCGTAGCTTTAGATATCGTAGTTTCCGAGATAGTATGTGTTCGTTTATGCTTGCACCACGTGGGTAGGATAAACGATGAATACGGCGAAGCTTCACCTAGTTGACACTACGGATTTTCTGAAGGACACCAATTGGCGATAGGTAATAGTAGGACCAGGTCTTCGCTTCGTCCAGGGGTATGGTCCCGACGAGCAGATTCTGAGTTAGCTCCTGATCAATGGCTGTCTGGAGCTAGGCGGCGTGTTCTGTGGCTAAGGGGAGAGGTTTGTATATTGCACGCGGAAGCGTGCCTACGTATCCCATGCTAGAGCATGCCGTGAAAGATATCTAAGATCGTTCTATCTTGATGTAATAGTTGGAAAATCTTCTGGTGATTTGGACGAGTATTTGGTGGAGATGAAATCCTAAATAGATTAAGAAGCGGGTGTACGTACGATGTGACTGAGTGGTTATCTTTGGTTGTCACTTGTGGTGGGAAAGGTTAGTGGCGAAGTAGCGGTGGTAGAGCTGATGATATTCTTCGTAGGTGTCGTGCGGTAGTGTGTGTTGTGTTTACAACCCGTCTTTTTCGGCCTGTTCTGTAGTTGTGTTTGGCATTAGTCAAATGTGATTAAAGGCTGCAAGAGATGAGGGGTTCGTACAGGGTGCGTGCAGTCACGACTGGATGAGTTATAGTGTTGCAATATTGCCCATGAGATTGGCCCTGAGTATCGCTTGCTATTGATACAATTGCAATATCGTGTTTCCAATAAACATTTTGAACAAGTCGCATTAGGGCGACGATTATCTTTTGATGTAAGAAACGTTGATAATAGCTGAGGTGGGACTACTGCGTACTGAAAAAAAATGTTATGTGAATCTATGGCAACCATAAGTGTCTCGTCAAAACATGCAACACTTTCGGGTGTGTGGGTGATCAGCCAGCCCGCCATCATGATTAAATATGCGATCATGTCGCCTATAGCGGCCTCGTCGGTTGCGAAGCCATGCGTTAGGCGCCACACGTAACCAAACCGACACATTGCTGATTGCATAAGGTCTGCTCTTGATTCAAATGTTTCGCGCTTATTGCGCTGACGTATCGCGCCTTCTGAGAATACTATCGTGTCTGCATCGTTATCTGTGTTAGCTAGTGGTCTATTGGCTTTTTTCGTGTCTATGGGTGTTAACTTGCCTACGACACTCCTAGTCTCAAGCTTTTCGGGAAGATTCTGGCCTATTAAGTAGAAAGTGCCGTATTTGTGTCTTCGACGGTGCGGGGTGTAAGAATGCCGTTCCCTCTGCGCGATAGATTGGAAATTTGGCCTTTGAGTTGTTCTGTTGTTGTATAAATTGAATCAGACTTCTGATGTCCTACTGTGATAGCAGAGGTGTTGGGGGGTTTGTCTGCTCGTGTGCGGTGTGTCTTTGGTATCTGGTATTGCCTGGGGATGCATAGGTGCCTGAGGTCTGGAATTTGGTACTGTCTGGGAAACTACTGGCGTGGGAGCGTTAGTTCTTGCTTGTTGTGTAGCAGTTTTCTTGGTGGTAGCTGTTGTGGTTGTAGTTGCGTTAGTGGCAGTCGTACTTGTCTGCTGGCTGCTGAGGATTTAGGAGCAGTTATAGTGTCATAGCGACAGAGTGTGGTGTTCTCAAGTACTGGTATTGTGTTAGGATTAGTGAGAAAACTGGGTGTAGGAAAGTTACTGAACCAACCTGGCTGGGTTGTTTGTCCGGTGGCGTGTTCTGAGCTGGAGAGTAACAAACCTAAGTTTATGCGTCTTCGCCCTGTGTCATGCTCGACTAATTGAGTCTCCACGGGTGGGCTTTCTGGTTTCTGCTAACAGTTGTGTTAATAATTGGGCATTGCATAAAAGAACTGACTGCAGAACTAGTTTTGTATATATATATTATTTTGTCTGCAGGTACTACATGTAAATTAAGAAACACTTACCCACGCTAGCCCGGCATAGTGTACTCTGGCCGAGCTTCGAGAAATCGCTATTTTAAAATCCAGACTGTTTTCAACTTTTACACAACTGCGCAGTAAAGGCAGGATAAACCTATTCATATTCAAAGTGGGGCAAGATTTGGTATTTGATGGTATGCTACATCGACACCCACACCTGTCGAAGCAATTCTCGCAGCTAGTAGATTGAATCCAAGTTTTAACTTGATACATGATTCGTAGCGTTGTGAGAGTCCCAAGTTCCAGCAGTACGGAAATCGTGCACTTCTTTGTCCATTTACAAACCAGACCTTACCTACATTTGGAATCGAGATTTTATTGGTCTCGTATGAAACTCCATGATTTATTCATCCTGCCTGCTGCCCAATATTGTTTTCTTTCCTCGGACACTTCACTTATTAACGGCATCATAGGAGTTGAATCCAAATTGAAAGCAACACTTTAGAACGCTATAGTAACCGGTGTGAAATCCAAATTCTTGTTGTGAGAAGCCCGATAGTGGATTTTTAATATTTGTTTGATCTATTTAAATTTCAAACACTAAGAAAAATCCACAAACTATAGTTAAGTACTTGTCTTCAACTTATGATTTCTACTAGACTATAAAGTTTGACATTGCCTCTACATTTACTTTCCTGTGTCTAGATTTTACTATTGTATTCGCAGCCCACGACGCTGTAAATTACATGATAGTTCCGAATCAAATTAAGCAGCTGGGTGTTGTGCACTAATATGCAATTCTGGTTTTATCTGTAATCGGATACTATTACTTCAGTGTCGATATCGATCTCGTTAAAAATCATCTTCAATTTATTCTACCTCTTGCTGCAGAAATCCCCCGTTTTCCAATATTGCAGTGTTGAAACAACACAAAAAGCCACACACTCTTACATTTCAAAATAATGTCGTTACGAGAGCTTGTGTCAAGCGGGTACCTGTTATATATGCCACAGTGGCAAGCATATTTAAGAAGCAGAGATAACTTAACTTCTCAAGGTAAACTAGGTTGTAGATAACTGATTCACATTTCGGTCAGTATCTATTCTTTATTAGATTTGAGTTTCAGCTGCCCGAGACTATCTCTATAGGTGGCTTTACAAAGTGGCCTATCCATTTACTTAAACCTATCTAAAAATGAAATAGGGATTTGCACATTTCGTTGGTATTTAGGCTGACCAACATGGACCCTTTGTTTATTGCTTTGGCCTTATTTGCCAATACTTTTTCCTCCATAAACGAAATCATGCTTAAGAATGTAGGCTGTGTCTCGCTTCGTGTATGTGACCATTGGGTAGTCTAAGGATCAGCATGAGGAAGATTTGACAATAGAATTAGAACTTATAGAGTTTGTACCAATCTTATTTGCTGGAAAGTAGAATGGAACTGTTTATCAATTCATAGAAACTCGCCACGACTCCTAATCGGCCCAAAGTATGGACTAATATTAATCCTTTTGAGTTCTGTGGATTTCCATACGAGTCAGAATCGCACCAGTCTCGCGACATTTAGTGTTTACTATTCGTGAGCACGTGTCTTATATCAAGTGTTTATCTTCTAATCTTATAATGGTTCGGAAGATAGGACTCAAGTGAAGTGTTCACATTATTTGTGACCTATTTGTCTAAGTATTTTAAAACCGATTTTGAAACCGATTTAGGCTTTGATCGCGTTGCTTACAATTTCGGATGTATACTGTGCGTGCCTCGACCATCATTTGAGCACTTATGCGCCATCTCTCCTCAAATTTGCCATATTTTGAACCAGATTAGTAATTCAGCTAGATCTCTATGGGCGGTATATCCAGGTTACGATCATAATTGTATATATACAAGCTCGTACATAATGCATTCAAATTACTACCCCCACATGCAGGTCTTTATTCTAATAGTACAAGAAGGAGTGTAGGCATACATCAGATTCATTTGCAGACGATGTCGGATGTAAGCAAATTCCTCTGAAACTGAAGAAAAAAAAGCTTGGGATAACCTTTCACGATTCCTGTACGAATAAGTAACGATGTATTTCGCTGGACACATAAGTCAGGGAAAATGCTAATCAGGCTACAAACCTTTGAGTTTACATTAGAAATAGATAATATTATCCTTAACTTCTGTGATGTCGCTATGTAAGGGTTTGTTGTTTCTTTGAGCTTCTGCTTAGCAACAGAGGCTTCAATTCCAGTTCATTTTGGTATCTAGAGCTGAATACATCTCACAGAGTAAACCACAACGCATAGTTTGGTTTGAGTTTTAGACGGATGATTTGTACAGACATCTCGGGCCAAATTTCCATAATAAGTGTATAATTAACCTAGTGTCTCGAAATCGATTTAAAATCGAAAATCAATATTGAAACAATACAAGTCGGTCATCTCCTGACAGCTGTCCGGTGTATTTTCGGTGCGATTCTCTGACAAAAACAGACAATGATTGAAATCTCTATCAGAATAGGATACTATGCACGCTGCTCCACATGAATTTGAGAAGGTATCTTGACTTGAGCTTGAGCCATACACGTTGGTTCCAGTCGTATTTGAAAATATATTGGGGTGAACTCGGCAACGTTGTACCACTATTTGATGAGCTGCGGCTTGCATGTGACAAACCAATCGGGATCTTTGAGGGTCAAAGAATAAGTTGTAATTTCAAGAACCGGTACCAGGGGTAGATCACCGTACCAATTAGCCAACTATCAATTGACTAGAACACAATAGCTTCGAATCAGGCGTTTCTGCCTTCGTAGAGGAATTTAAAACATTCTTCAACTAGCCATCCTGAGAACGATCTTGTATTGATATCTTTCCCAATCGAGGATGTAAAAAGTGGTTTGAAACACGACGCGGTTTAAACAGTGGCAATGGCAGGAGGCCCCGAAACCGATCATCGTTCATTTAACAATTCTCAGCATATTGTGGGCTATGTTTGTAGCACTATCAGTGAGGTGATCAAGGAGTCAGCGGCTTTTATAGCTGACATTGTTAGCTGGCTCAAGGGGGTCAGCTTTTTTTATTTGCTCTAGTGTCCAGATCCAATCTGACAAGATTCTAGTAATCTAAAATTTACGCTGACATGCCTATATATAAACCAATTGTGAGGGCTGATTGGTGTCTTAAAGAGTGTTATTAATTTGATGAATACCTCAGTGAACTTTTCGATTCTGAGGATATTTCCGCGATGTCTTAATGCTGAGTCTTTCTTTTTCTCATAGACATCACTTACATAATTTACAGAACCAATATATGATATTACTCTCGCGGAAGGCTGGGATGCAGTATCCTATTATAAAATCTCTGCTCACAAAATCAGATGGAAAGTCTCAGAAATGGTTGATTAAACTAAATAGTAGCTGGTTGTTTTCGAGGTCTTCCCCTGACAACTGTGACTAACAAATATCAGTCTCTGAATATGCATTGAGAATTCAAAGATACATTGTTGTCGGCCTGTTTTCGAGCAGATGTATAGTTTTGCAGCTTCACTAGCGTCGGCTTTGTAACACATGATTTTATTGGTCTCCTAAACATGCACACCGTTCTCTTGCGAGTGCTCTATATTGCTCAAAGTCACGTAAACATCCAGCAGGATCGTTATCTAAATGAACTGTAGACCCATCTGCATCCTCACGGAGCTTCTCATTGTCCGCTCGTATTCTATTGCGGACCCGCTCATAATACTCCACGATATTATAGAGCATCAGCGGATTCGAACCGCAGCTAGCCGTCTGTATCGATGTGTGAATACCATGAGATTGCCAGAATCAGGGTAATGGACATCGATCTTCATTCCAGAGGAATTTGCACAGGCAAATCTTAAAAAAAAACCCACCTTCCACATGTACAGCGCCTTAGTAGGCAACATAGCACAAATAACAGCCACCAGTTGTACATCGCTACAATTGATTTCCATACCCTTAATATTAAAGTGGAGTTGTCCCGAAGACCGGTCTGGTTCATGAGGAGTTGTTGCAAGACTTGCGGAGACTGAAAGAGAAGTACAAGCAAAAGTGGGTTGAATAGGAAATGATACTGCGTCAAAAGAGTTTAAACGGAATGCATTCAGTTCATTGATAATAATCTGAGAATTACGAATAGGCATTCCCGTATTCCTTTCTATGGCTCTATATAAATTTAAGCTATAGAGACAAGATGCAATAGACTAGGGGATGATTCTGACATTTACTGAGATAAAATATCCTTATATGTTATAATCGGCAAAACATGGCCATAAACAGAACAGAAGACCTCGATTTGTGCATGGAGTTATGAATGTATTTATAACAAAGTTTTAATCACAGGTATATTTCAACAGCTGATTAATATGAAGATGTAGAGGGTGTATGCATACAATGTAATTTCAGTTAGTGGCCAAAATTAAGCATGAGGCAAAACAGCACATTTGAAAATGCTCGATTCAAGCCAGAAAAAGATTAAGACACTTACATCCTTCAGGTACAGCATCATCTCCGCAGTCGCAAAACTGTAGCGTTCATTGCATGGCTGGTGAAGGTCTCTGTGCAGTATGCACGTGCAATACTCGACATTTTGATTGCAGTACAGCTCATTGACACGGGCTGGCGAAGCACTGCTTTGCAGGTCTAAATCAGACCCATTCAGTGTCGTACAGCCATGGCACAACGTTTGGGCATTGCTAGGGACCCAATGCTTGCTGATTGGTGTAGTTAAAATCGTCCAGAGTACCAAGCGTGACGGTCTGCAATGTGAAGCGGAGGGCGATGGGTTGACGGAGATGGAAATGTCAGCGAGGACGAGAGATTGGCAGAGCAGGGTTTCATCAGTATGGTATTCATTTTATCGCTCTAGGATTGTAATTGCACTTTGTAGTGTACATACTAGATGAAGCGTTCTCAACGAGTCTGGCAAAGATCAAATGTAACCTTCAAACCTGGCAGAATTTCGAACCACATACCTAATTATTTTAGACCGTAATACAGTTGTCAGTCGTTGCACCTGCACAATGTAAGTAGCAGGCAAATATTTGCATGTAAGTACCACATAATTTTAAACCGGATTGCACTTGTGCCTCATTTTGTCTCTATTGCATTGCTTGATCCCATTTCTTATAATACGTGACTCTGTCACATATCTATCAGCAATCAGTTCGTATTCATAAGTTGTTGAACTCAACGACCGAGAACACTCAACAAAGCATTCATGATCAACAAAGCCTTGATACCAAAACTAAACATATAGTTTGGTGTGCAAAACACATACTCGAGCACTAGTAGAAAACCTCCGTGCATACCTGACACAGGCGTATAAGCAGGCTAGAAATCTCTGCATCGAGTTCCGGGAGTGGTGCTATACCATGGCCGACGAGCGCTCGCCTGAACTGGAAGAGCATGTGAATCATGCGTTTGCCGCTGTGTCTCCTATTCTTCGTCTGCACATGATAATAGCAATAATAAACATAAAGGAAAATGTAGGCACATACACTCCATCACATCGGATGGAGGTAGTTGAATCACATGCTAGGGTATATCCCTGAATGTACTGCAGGGGTTGTGTCAGCAGTAATGTACTTATTAAGTGCGCATATTACCGCCAGAGCTTGAAAATGAGAAATCATGTGCTTCAAAATGTGCAAATAAAATTAAATAAGATCATATATTGAGTGATCGCTCATGTAACAGTACATAGCTGATATTCGTATTCGTATTGTGATGCAAATATGCATGTATAATGAAGTAGTGTAGAAGGTGCCTCCTATCATGCCTCTAATCGAATGTAATACCCAGCAACTTAAAAATGAGACACTTAGAGTTGACTGTCAATATGGTGTTGATTGCGAGTTAGTTAGAGATAGTATAAACGCAAATGCTCATGTGCAAAACTATGAACAGCGGGTTTAGAATGCACCCGTTTGCAATCATAGCCATAGTGTCGAGGTTTGCCAGGCAAATGACATGCGCAGTCTACGCGGATACAACCCTTACCAACATACTTACAAATGCCGAGCAGTACGACATATACACTGGTTGTAGAATACAGTAATCAAACTAGTAGCCTTCAAACCACCCACACAGGTCAGACAGTACAGCTACGAGACAAGTTGCACAGTACACAAGCCTCACAGGTGAAGCGGCAGAGTACGCGGACGTACCGTGATTTTGCAAACGAGCGGTCGGAAGATATAGTCCAGCATATCCATTTGTAGCATGACCGGAATCACGCGTCGCTCAGCACGCACCTGTTGTGCTATGCTGTGCTCCAAGCTCAATGATTTATCGCACTCCAGACCGCACCCGCCAACATGCGCCGTCGCAGGTATATGGCGTTGTGCACGTGCCTGGCTCGTGCAGATACAGGGTCTCTCATACCCACTAGCAGATGACTGGTTGTGTTTATTACCATCGTCTTTCGATTGTTCGTCTGTGTTGTCACCAGCTGTATCCCGAGCCAATCCCAGTCGCTGGCAGCACACATCGCACGTACGTCTCTCCTGTGACATGCCCTCTGGTAGTGCGTTGTTGTTACCTTCTGCTGTGTGCTCATCCGCACGAGCACGAGCACGTGCTGAAGCCCCCACCTTACTGCTCTCCGTTTTAATAGCACATCGCAGGCGTGTGAGGAGCATTTCAGCCGTATTTGTACCGTGACTGTCCTCTGTATACATACACTCCGTAGTGGTGGCTGTCTCTGATGTCTGAGCATCTGCGGCTGAGTCGTTCCGCATCATGTTCAGTTCGTCGCTTGTGGTGCGCGGTCGACTGCGGGATGGGCTGCGGCCAGCGGCGACCCGGGTTGGACTCGTGCCGCTAGTTTGTAATAATTTTTGACACACAGGAAACGAGATGATTAAGTGGCTGCTCCATGCTGAAAGAAATAATGTATGTGTTGTTACAACTTTGTAGCTGCCTATACAATTCGCTACAATCAGTGGTATAGGCTGTCAGCCAGACAAGAGATAACTACCTGTGGTGCGTGGTCTCTTACCACATACGAACAGATACGAAGTGGTCTAGGTCAGTTGTGAACAGAAAGCATTTGTGTCAAATGCAGTAATACGCAAACACCTTCTTGATGCTTTTATCTCGGTAACGTGTTTGATTACATGAAGACTTTCGGAGTATGTATATACAACACGAACACAGAACTCTCCAAGGAGAAAGCGACGCCAATAATAGCACTGGAGTGTTACCTACCTGGGCGATATAACAGGACTACTGGCATGAATAGCGGACCGCCTGTTGCGCGATACATTGGTCACCGATTGCCAGGGAAGCGCAGAGTATCCACCTATGCATTGAAAATTAAGGCTGCGCTGAGGTGCTAGTGTATATAGTAAATCGAGAACGGGCGTTCAACATTGCAGTCGATGTATGAGATGGCTGAAGGATAGGGGTGATGTGGAGAGTTCTTCGCGAGAGCCCTTCTAAAAAGGAAGAATATGCAAGTACTATCAATCACACATGACAGTACATCAAACGCCTTCCCCCCCGCCATATGAAGGAACAGAATACACATCAAGACGTACTTAAAATAGTGCTAGGTACCAAATATGCTTAACAGTGCTAGGTACCCAATATGCTTGTTTATAATTACTGAACAACTCATATACACACATTGAATATAGACCAGCCTATTGCCAAGCATATGTATACGCATCGGCATATCATCCTCTCGTGAAGGCTACAGGCTGGCCTATTTCAGTACACACCTGGTGCTGGCTTGCTTGATGTAGTCAAATTGAGTCGCGAACAATACTCGTTTAACTGTTATTACTCTCCTATATGCACACATATGTTTTTAGCGCACGTACCTGGCGCCGGTTTAGAGTACGTGACCAGGTTGAGTCTCGAGAACACTTGGTTCAACTGTTGTTGGTCTTGTCGTTGATGTGCAGCTTCCTGCGTTTGCCATTTAGCTAGTGAAGACACAAGCAGTTCCATAAGAAGCTCACGGCGTGTTGATGACGCGATCGTTACAGGCTTGTTTGGGGATATGGTGGTGGTTGCTGAGGAATTCACGTTCACCTGTACTGCCGGCCTGGGCCTAGATGGCGAGCGAGACTTTTTTCTCTCATGGTTCGAAGTGGCAGGTGTGGTAATTGGCCCGCGTATTGGGTATGATGGCGATTTGATGTTATTGGCCATTTGCTGGTCGACTGTTTCAGCGGCAAAACAGTCTCTGGCACAATTGATGAGCAAGCATTTAGAGTTGCTCCGTCGCAGAAGGTAGTCTACTCTCTCGGCGGCCTAAGCACATGTTGCAGTGAAATATAATATAGAATGGGAGTGATGATCCCAATAAATGTTGCCACATGTATGTGTTTGGTGCTGTTTTACCCAGGTCAATATGTGTCATTACGTTTATGTCTTGGCGTAGTCCACATGTTTGGGTTCCATCCGAATCCGACTTTCTTAAATACGTGTAACACTGAAAAGGACAAAGCACCAGATCCACAAAATAAACCCATCATTTAAAACAATCATACCTCAGCAATGCTTGCACACACTCCTTCCACACACACAGATATGCGCCACAGTCGCCCTTGCTGAGCGTCTAAGCCTATGTTGGGCTGGAATAGTGCCCACCCACCCGAGTACACTTTGTCTGGGAGTGTCTGTCCCATAGCTGCATGCGGTGGCTGGCCCTTCACCAGGGGATACACAAACTTGACTGTGTTTATGACTAAGCTGCGCGAGCTGCTCGTACTGCGAATACGTGGTGTGGAGCCCACGTTTGAGGGCCCTCGGCTGTGTAGTGCTGGGGGTAGGGTCAATTGAGAGTACGTTGAGTGAGACGTTGAGGAATGCCATAGATGCCTTAGTGTGAAGTAGTCTGATGTAAAAGGGGTAGGGTGCTAGTGCAAATACAAAAGGAGAGGGGAAAGTCGTTGGCTGAAAACAACAGTTGAGGCCAGTGGTCAATCAGATCGGTGCAGAGAGTGCACATCGTAAGCTATCAAGTGTTTGTTGGTAAAGTGAACTATTAAACAATCGGACAGATACGCGTATGTGCATATGCACGCGCACAAGACTACCACGACGCCGGTAGAACGTAGCAAGCGGTATTCAGGTGAACCATATCGCTGTCAAAAAAAACCTAGATCCCTACTGCGATAGCCACCGAAAGTCAAATACGCCATGAGCGACACAGTATATCAAAGTGGAGAGGGCTGCCGCGGTGCTATAATAAAGGGCTTGTATGTAGACAACGCAGAGACTACCACCTCATACCCGGATAACACCTTACAGCATAAAAATAAAACGAAACCTATCGACATTCATAAAAAGTGAAGTACCTAATCTAAAGCACTCTGCCTACTACGATGCGCAAACTTCCCCAAACTCACCCGATGGACTCCTCGAGATGGTAAGAGAGGATTTGCTGCCGCTTAAAACACTACCAGCTATGGTTTTGGTGTTCAGATCCGTTTCCGAATGCAGAATATCAAACACCGCACATGTTTTGGAGGCTTGGTGGTGCACGATGATGTGATTATCGTCTGAAGTGAGTGCGAAGATTCTAGTCGTCTGCACATGACAAAGGAACAACAGGTATCAGAATATAGTTGTCAGAGGATCACATGGATGCAGAATATATACTATCGTGTGGGGATCTTGAGTTGTGCACGAGGACTCGATTTTGTCTAACATGGTGCGAAGTGACGTGCTGTATGTGCCAAGTGGACATAAAACGAAAACGATATATGTCTGAATTGCACATCCATGCAGGATACTGAGGACCGGATATCTGACGTGTACGGTGAAGTGGTTCAAGTGGTAATCAGAATACGACAAATGTCCGAAATGAATATCAATACAGGATGCCAAACATCGTATACCTGACTTACAAGTTGAAGTGCTTAAGTTGATGTGGAAATTCGTACATCTTGTAAAAGTGGGAGCCGGGTCATATAATATGAGACGCGTGAGTATACGCATCATGCAGCGGAGGAGCATTGATTCAAAGATCTGACGATCCCCAATAAGACGGATACGTACTCCTGCGAAAACACTCACAATCTGTTAACCAGACGAGCGCTGACAAAGCACGTTGTGTGGCATTTGATTTTTTACATAGTCACTTGGTGTTAAATTTGTAATGCCCCTGTACGCAGTCACAAATACTAATGAAGCAATACGCCGTGACATGCGCTCGCCAATAGCGCACATACACATACCCACACCAAGAACACCGTACATGGATGAGAAGCAAATGTTCACATGCTCAATACTTTCATCAAAGTGCAGTGTCATAGCCTAGCGCGGGTCAACGTATAACACAATTTTAAAACAATCAATCAGACGGTTAGATTCCAGTGTAAACATACATTCGCCTGAGGGGCCAGGTTCCAGTAGAGCACGTACTCCTTGAGCGCGGCCTCCTTGGTAACGCGGAACATGTCTACCTCCATGCCGTGCTGATTTCCCCGTTGCACCTGGTTGCGGACTCGTGTGACGTAAAGCTGGTCGTATACTTGGAAGATACTTATATCCCTCTCGCTGCAAATGTGTACAGAGGGCGTTCACGTTGGTAGACTGCGTGTCTACGGAGTCTAGCATTTTTCTGTATCTGTACCTTCCCGGACGGAGGATGCTATGTACTTGTTCCTCACGGGACTTGTCGGTGGTAAACACTAGAAATAAGACACTCACAGGGATGTATTAATAGCTGGTAGACCCTAATGCTGCTAAAACCAAAACCTTTCCTTAGCACATGCGACTGATATTCACTTTCGGACTCATGATTGAACATAGCTGGTATAGACACACAAACGATAAAGTATACCTCTCAGTCGATATTGCCCAGGGGTGTGACTGCACGCAGCCGTTGGATGCCCTGTAAAGACTATTGGCATTTACTGCGATTTACAATACTTGAGCAACGGAATCTACATTAGTAGATACTTTTGAGCTGCGAATTTAGGCCACCTGACATACCTCAAGTGCTCGTGAATGCTACCGGAGGTCTGGTAACTGTTCAGGCAGTCCACCCGAGAGTGGCGTGTGACACTCCCTTCGGTCTGAAAGCTGTACGTGTGCAGCGAGGGATGCGATGCACTGCACACCACCAAGAACTGCGCCGAGTGCTGCGATCAGCCAAAAGCGATAAGACAGTAATAGTTGCGCTAAGCTGTCCTGGTTATGCACATGTATAAACGGAACAAGGCCACCAGCGATGGAATTACGAGACAAAGTACACAGAACGGTGACTATGAAGAAATATACAACAACTTTGTTTCAGTAGACACTTAAGAGCAAAGTCATTGGCATTTTAGATTGCAGAATATCACAGTAATCTCTCATACGCCTAAAACCACATATACCTTTGCGCGCAATAAGTAATGTAGAAAAAAAAATCGGTATGGCAACTTCCGATAACTGGCAACCCGATACATACATATGTGCTTGCCTGGCCAATGATGATATTGACCGTACCTAACATACCGAGAAGACCGACCAATCCAGTGTGAGACCATAGTACTTGACCATTTTGGAGCTCCGGCCGTCCGCTGACAACTGTTGTGTATTATACGGATAGGTATCAGTTACATCGCACCAACACTGGGAGCGCGATAAAACTCGAAATCATGAGCTCCGGCTACCGCATTAAATGTGAGCACTTGCCTCCCGCTCTCTAGTATTAAAATGGCATCGAAGAATGTCACGCACCAAGCTACAATAAGGAGTTAGAATCGAACGTAGATCAAGCTCAAATATAACTCCGCGGTGCTATTTCAATACTTATATTGACTGCCAAAGTAACTACAACTTGCCTTCAAGACGCAATACATACCAACATTTGCACCATCAAAGTCAATGACAGACGAGACCACACACCTGATGAAGCTCCACCGTATTCTCGGTGATGAGCACAAAGTCTCTGGTGTGCAGCCAATAGAAACGCAGTATCTTTGAGTTCGCGTACCTACCGGCGATTGCGTGTATGGGCCCCGTATCATCATCTGGATCGAAGAAGTCAACGACACACATGGAACGGTGCACAGCCGCTACACGCAGGTCTTTGGACAACTTGATTGAATTAATGATTTGTGTATTCGGTAGTCTGTGGTAAGTAGGATAGAGTGATCAGCGGAGTTGATTCTGGTATCGTTTTTGTGCGAATTTAAAACAAAGTTCACAATCTTTACCGTAATTTTAAGTGATGTGACAGGTACGGTTGAACAAATGCACCTCTCAAAAGAGTTTCATGCCCATAACCTAAATGTTGCATATAAATGTGTACGATATGTATATAGTTAAATTTACATAATGATATATATGTGGCGACTTTCATTTCGAATATCAATGTGAACATACAGGTAGACAACTTTGTATTTCAATTAATTGCACTCAACTTGACATATTCGTCTATGAATAGACATTTCAGTCTACAGTATTAACTCGTACGTTCGATCATGCTCTCCTTTCCTTCCCACATTCATTTTTGAGTATTGTGGCCAAAACTTCTCCGTCATTCAAGATGGCACACGAAATAGTGGTTGTGTATACTTTCGCAATTGCTGATCAGTTTACTTTAAGCCAAGCTCTCAGATCTGGAGAAAGTATATTGATACATCACTCGGCCTGACTATACTAATATCAACACTAACGACTACACTCCTTGTGGTACATCATTTAGCTCAGCCAAACTTTCACCCCTTTCCCCTCTCGTTCCATAATTTGAATAGATCATCAAACAAGTTTAATATGTTGAAGTAGTAGAGAGTAGATTGAGACAGTTTATGTATAGCGGCATGAATCACCACACGCCTCCATCATCGTGGTAAATCGAATTCACGGGCTGCAGTTGACAAATAAGCGAGTATGCAAGCTATACACAGAAACTGAACATATACGTACAATACAGCCTACTATCAAGCAGCGCTGTGCACAATGCAGTACACAATACACATACCGGAAAACAAGCTCCTCCCACTGGCGCGTAAACGACATCATGTATACCATCGCATAGGTGGCTTTCCAGCGTACCACCAACACTTGCTGCATGCCCTCATCATAGTACACAGTGGCGCTCTCATCGCTCACCGGGAACACTTTGGTATCACATGTGAATGTAACGCACGACTGCTGTGCTATCGTAGAGTTTGGTAGTGTGTCCGTGGACACCACACGCGAGTCTATTGTATCAGTCATGGTTACTCACATTATAGCTGTCTACCACTGTACCATGCAAGATCTGATGTCCCAGTTCTGATTTGGTTGCACTATGCCCCACGCACTCCTTTGCGTGCAATGGAGTATTGCCTTGTTATATACTCCCAGGAACAAAAACTTGCCGTTTCGCCTGCTACTCTAAAGTGTGCGGGTAAACGGCATCAAGAAAGTACACAGTGATAATGAAAGAATTCGATGCCAACAGACATGCAGACCGTCATGAACCTGAAATTGAGTGTGATGTGCACGTAGAGTACTCGCTTAAACCTCCGCTTCAATCTGAGATACTCTCGTACCCGGCACCGGCACTTGATTTTAACTTAGCTGTCAATGTACTACTAGAGACTGTATGTATCTGCCGATACTACATCCGCTACATGGCAATATATACCATTATGTACACGCGTACATAGGGGCTGCTCGTTAGTTACACATACATATATGTTTTAGGTAAATATATGTATATAAACGCTACATTAATACGTCTCCCACTCTCTCTACAACAGAGAGAGGCTCTATTTGATTATATTGTGAGAAATGTTAGCACACGAAAGTGTTGCTTTTTTAGCTTTAATTATTTGGCGCCTAAAGATCGGATCACCATATTAGGCACTACTTACAATCACAACAAAGTTCACTCTTCCCAGACCCAGTTCCCATAGCCCAGGCCCCAGACGGCATTGCGTTAGTATGTGTTTACCATCAGTCCATACAGTTCTGAGTTCTCAAAGTGCCACAGATGCAGCTTTCCACAGAGAGGATATATTTTGGTACATACATCCGCTTTCCACAGCGAGAGGATATTATTTAGTACATACATGCCAACACATAATCAAGTATTTCCACACTAATACATACAGATCAGCATGTCCACAACACATACATAAACAGATAAAGCAAAACATAGCGAAGTCGCTTAATATAATATACGACTCGGTTCGAATAGTATGGACACTTGATTTATTATATACCAGAGAGTAGTGGTAGCGGGAGCTGAGTTACGTGTTCATTCAAGCCTAATTACTGAAGCGAATTAGATATAGGTAGGATAAGATCCTTCTTGAACCACCGATAGGAAGGTAGATACGCATAGACATACCGCGTTAAGATGCGCATAAAAGCCCTTGTGGCACATCGGATGCTGCTAGTGCCCGTGACCGACCACTCACACACTTTCCAATGGTTACTTGACGAGTGCATACGCAGGGCAGGGAACCCAGAATCCCCCATACAGCACAGGGACCACACAGGAGATAGTGCAGATGCACAGGAAAGTGTTGACAATAGTGAATGGTGCTTGTATACCATAGACGGGTATGAACTTTTTGCCTCAGATCGCGTGCTGGATGTGCTGGAGAAGGATGACGAGGTCATGGTTATGCGAAAGGGAGGGAAAGGTGGTGCCTTTGCATCGGAAGGTATCATTCCGAATCTGTCAGATGATGGGGTATATGGTGCAGGTGTCAATTTAAACACATATCTGAATATGGGCACTGGTTTACCAGGACAGGATTCAAATACAAGTACTAATACAAATATAGATGCAAATGCAAATGCAAATGCAAATGCAGGTGCAAATGTAAATACGAATTCGAATGGGATGCCCATCAAGCTACCGGGAGCTTCTGATGTGTTTTCGGGTCGTTTGCCCGACGTTAGGGGTAGTGCGGATCCTAGTTACATGCCTAATCTACCTCAACTGAATGGATCAAACATGACTGGTATGACGAATGGAAGCATACAGGGTGGTGTGAGTGGTTTAAGCGGCCGCCAGAGCCTGGGTAATATAGGTAATAATGTAAAATCGAATCACTCTACAGTCTCAAACGATCCGGTGCACGCATATACTAGAAGCTCGATACATGAAAATGTAGCAGGGAACAGTACTTTCTTAGACACTCATAATACAGAAACGCCGAACATGAGTACGGGAGTAGATGCTTCGAAGGGTGAACTGTATAATGTTGAACAACTGATTTTGGATCTGCAGGGACAGGGCTATGAACTACCCGAGTCGGTGTGCGAGGTAGATAATAATCTGAACGAGTTGAGTTTGCCGGTACCCCCACAATCGCAGACACAGCCGCAACCGTACACCCATGCAAACGCAGCCGATACACATACAGGTGCGAACGGAGGTGGTCTCGTACCACCTGTACACAATGCCGGGAATGCCGGTAGAGCCAGCGATACCTATGGAACACCTCTGGGCAACTTACGCACACCTCTGAGCTCACAGCCGGTTATACACACCGGGCACGAAGCAACCCATAAAGATACGGATACTACCACTGCCGATATACCTCTTGCGGGCCCGAGTAGCGTCCACCCTAACGCACAGGCAAGTTAATTGCCCGTACACGCCACATTCTTTATAGTTGGTTTGTTGTTGTTGTATATATATATACACCCGTTGTTTGTTGCCAAAGTGATTATTTGCAGGGGTCGACGTATAGTAGGCTCAAGCCACGCTGAAAGGGTTGTTATCATTCTTTGCATCACAGCTGTGGTCTGTGCTCCATACATTTAAAACCCTATGACGGCTGCACTCTGCTCCAAGAACATGCTGCTTATTCGGCAGCCACTGCCTACAGACTAGGTTTTCATTAATGGGCCGGGTTGTCTGTGCTCGTGCTCTGGCATGTGCTCAATCTATAAATAGATGCAACTATAAATAGATGCAACTATAAATAGATGCAATTATAAATAGATACAACTATAAATAGATACAACTATAAACAGATGCAACACGTCATACACAAGTGCACTGACACGAAAACCTCAACTAGTGATAGCACGCCAAATACCGCCAGATTTCAGTTGCGCGATAGTTAAACACAACAATCTGCTGGGCTAGTGAATGATATCCATCCGTATTATTTTCCATGCGAATTCCAGTAGTGGACAGAGCTCGTACATTTATATATATATTTAAATATTTATATAGAGTTGGTCGTTATAGTTTGTATGTCAGATACGGCCACTGAAGCAAGTTCGCCCATATACGCGTCGAATCTATTTATCAATGTCTCTCACTGGTGTATATGATACAATGTACCAAGTATGTGTTGTTGTATATGCACATTCAAGTCAATAACAGCCATATTTGTAACAACCGTAGCAGATACAACACATAATACAGGTCACATACTAGTTCACTCACATAGATACGTCACACACATACAGGATCGCCCAGGCCGATCAAGAAGGAAACCATTCAGGATTCTGCTGGTGAGGCACGGTGTCTCTACTGCGAATCTGGACCCCTCGGTGTACGAGTATACGCCGGACCACCGCATACCCCTGGCACCTGAGGGTAAAACAATGGCCAGGAAAGCCGGCGAGGCGATATCCAAGTACTTTTACGAAGGTTGGTGTACGCTTTCTGGGTTGCCTTTTGGACGTATCAGTGCGTTAACCAAGACCTGGTTGTTCCCTGTGTGGGGTGTATAGTCAGTCAGAACCCAGTACTGAGGCTCTTTGAGAGAGTTATTTTGCACACTTTTATATGATATTCCTTCGTTGTTCGAAACAAGTACAGTATTTGCCATAGGGTGCGTGTTTCATACGGCATGCCTCAGGTCTTACGTCGGTGTCGTATCGCGTGTAGTGTACATTACCATCAAAGTCCCAGCTTAGGCTCCGCAGGAGTAGCAGCCCTGCAGACAAGCTCGTATTTGAGCACGCTTCTTCTATTGCTTTATAAAATAACTGATCGCTGTACATGCACCACGTTAGACGATATACACGCACGTACTGGTTGCCAAGTACTGTGAAGAGTTTGTTTCGTGGTTGTGTTGTGGTTGATATGGGCCTATGCAGCGCGACTAGTACCTCTCGCCAACACCAGAAAACGTACTTGCAATCCCCAACCCCTACCTCCCTACTGGTTCGTTGCCGTAGTGAAGAGCGTATAGCGTATTCTGTCTTATTCGGGATTTGGCTTATCGGACTGTCCCTAACTATCTACATACGCGTGTACTGCATCCTATAGTGTATAAAGATCCCACGAATGCTGGACACATCCGCATGTGGCACAGCCCTTACTTACGAGCCGTTCAGACTGCAGAAGCTATCCGAGACAGTTGCGGTCAGTGGATCACAGATGCACGCGAGAACCCTATGATCGCTGAGATTGATTACGGGCTGTTCGAGGGGAGGGGACGGACGTTTGCGCAAGATCTGGGGATGCAAAAGGAGGTGAGCAGCCGTGTGTGTGTAGCGTGTAGTGGTTAGTGTACATGGGACCCTGTGCAGTGTTATCACGCCCAGTACGTAACAGGCTTCAAGTTGAATCTGAGTATACTCTCTATTGCGTTGATCACTTGACGCACTACAACTTTTTTGCAACGCACTCGAGCCCATTTTTAGGGTCTACTGAGATGTAAAATTTGCAAACTTAAATACCGAAATCCAAGCCCGAATCCTTTTCCATCTGCTTGCTATGCTTGTAGCTATTGCACTTCAATATGCTTGTGATACACAAAGACTGACTTTTTTGGGATATACTCTGATCCTTTGACCCGAAAACCCGAAAACTAAGAATCCAAATCTTTGTGACTGTTTGCCCTGAACCCTTAAGCCTTACATGCACACCCATTGGCCTGGACAGCTGACTCACTACAATCCTCGTGCGATGCATTAGGAGTTACCAAATCGCGAAACTATGTAAAGCACAAAACCCTGAACCGAAATACTTTGTCCTTTCTCCATTGGCTTGAACAGCTACAATCGGCGTACACACGCGATTTTTAGGAAGTAGTAAAATTGATTAAAACAAGCCAATTTTGAAGACATATTGAAACCTATAGGGCAAAGTTCCGAATTCCTAAATATCTAATGCAATAACATATCACCGCATTGGCTTGAACAGCTCACCCACTACAATCTGCGTGCGATGCATTCCGGGCGGTTTTGGGCCCGATTTCCTCTAGGAGAGTCGCCTTTCGATGTGTGCCAACGCGTGGCCATGTTCAACGGCACCATCGTCAGAGATCGTGATAACAGGGCAAACAATGTAAGTGTTTTGATTCTCAGAGGCTGTTGGTCAGATGAATACAAAGTGTATGCCAATGCCAAGTGAGTACTGTACTTCAAACACAATGGGAGTCATCGTATCAGTGACCGAGAGTGTTTTGGGACACTTCCAGGGGACTTATCGGTTAGAAACGTAGTACTTTATGAAAGTGTATCGATTCTGAATGTTTACTTTCGTTTCAAACATCACGAGAATCGATGTGGAAAATCGTGACAACTTGGCAAACAATATATGCGAATGTTCTTGAAGTATGTTTTAGACATATATAAAGAATCATTGTCGTATATCTATAGTATTTGCTCTGTTTCATAGGTAACGGTAGTCTCAGGAACAGTAGGTCAGGAGGTATCGGTGAGTTTCGGTGCATCTAGGTGTTCTTTTTGGCGCACGAATAATGTGAGCGAAGTTTCTAGCTGGCTGTTTGATTTGAAGCACGATTGAAGTATACGATACCTAAGACATTCGGTTTGAGACGTCAAATATGTTTGGGGGTATCTATCATTTTCATACCCGTATGGCTATCTGATATTACCTTTTTTCGCACCCTGTAGAAACCGCCGATTGATACGATTATCGTTGTGTCGCATGGCATCACCTTGCGAGTCTTCATGAAGATGTGGTGCCATCGATCGCTTGATTGGTAGGTACCTCATTCAAGATGGAGTATCATTTGTATATGCGCAGGCTGCCTCATATTCTTTGCGGCAATGCCAGTACGTGTGTACATTGCGTATTTCATATAGTATACACTTCACCACCCAAAGATTCTTTTTCTTCGTATAAAAAAGTGTACAGGGTCCAGTGTGCGATTGCCTGTCTATTCTAAAAGCTCGGACGTATTTACATTGTTATTGGTGAGTGACCATTGAGAAGTAATGCATGTAGTTATACGCGGGTTGGTCTACAGTGTTCACATTGTGATATGAGCGACGTTTCAGTAGAGGACTTCACCTACTCATTCCTACACTCAACTGCACAACTACCTACAGGTACGAGAACGAATGGAATGGTAACAATTGCTCTGTACGGTTGGTAACATCATCGGGCGATAATGGCTACATGTTTAACGGCTTCGATGCCCACGACTGTACTGTGGAGGCACCCGGGCCTTCTAGCTACTCCAAGTCTAGGGTAAGTATTTTATATAAGTACAATATTTTTCTGAGTATCGTGATTAATTGGGAAGTTCTTTCAGTTTCTCTGAGGCTAAGGTAAGTAGAGCAGTTGTGAACTAGGTGCTTACTGCCTGTGAGTGGCTGTAGGGACTGGTTAAAACAGATAGTGTAAGATTGTACGGTGTTCTTGTTTCACTGATCATATCTGAGACATATATAACAGTTATCGTCGTTCTGTAAATCTGCTAATGTCCTGTTTGCTGTTACAACTCTATTTTGTGACATGCAATACTGACTACATACATCGAAAGTTTGCAACGTATTCTAAATATGAGTCTGTTTCCTATTTCTGAACAGAAGAATACGCCGTCGCTAATCCGACTTTCACTCGACCAATTGATCAATTTGTTATTTGTGCCGATATTGTCGCTCACCGATTTCAATAGTACACCTGAACTGGACTCAGTCCCCAAAGAACTTTCTCAAGATAGGCATAGGCTCCATTGTACTGAATGAGATGTCTTCGTCGCTTGTCTTCCTATAGTTGTATTGACTTTCACACTCCAAACAGACCCAGACCGCTCAAAAGGAACTCAAGAAAAGGCAAGGGTCTATAGTGCTCAATAAAATCGACCTCCCCTCGTCACCCTCCCGTGGTCGGCGTGGAAGCTCCCAGCCCTCCAATTCGGTAGTACGCACAAGATCCCACGAGAAACAACTTAACAACGAGAGACAGCTCAACAGTATAGGTATGTGAAGCAGCTATAACAAAGGCTAGTAGATAGAACTCATGGTATAAGTAGGTAGAACAGCTCCTGAACATAGGCAGGTAGGTAGAATCCATGGTGCTGAGTATAAGAGCTCCATACTATAGGTGAATAGTATACATGGTACAAATAGGTAAAACAGCTCCCAAAAATAGTTCGGCAAATATGATCCATGGGACAACAGCCCCCGAAAAAAGATAGGCGAATATGACTTATGGCACAAGGAGGTGAAACACCTCGATAATGTAGGGAACCAAATAAGGGCAATGGTCCCAGGCCCAGGGGGTTAAACGAAATCAATGGTACAAGTAGGTACGACAGCTCAATAGTGAGTTAGTTTGGCACCTTTGACATCGAGAGATATCTGAAGTTGTCATATAGCACAGCTTAATAGTCGGTTCTTTGATTTACATACAAATCCACAGGATGAGCACCTTCATGTTTAACGAAGTTTGACTTGTGCTTGGCATTTTAGCACAAGTAGTAATCACCCGAGTATTGGCCTGTTTACACAATCACGCGAACTTCTTCGTGTTATTTTGACTACAACCCAGTCTGCATTTTTGTGACATCCCGGTATTGTTACAGGGTGCTATCGCTCAAGTCGTATTGTATAATGCATGCTGTAAGTTGAATAGTCGATCCACAATGTAAATTATAGAAGTATGTATGTCGCCATCAACGGTCATATCCTGCATCTAATCCTCCCCACAAACACAAATGCATGAACGGGCGCACGAAAAAAGTCGAGATACACATACCCTTCACGTTCTACCTTTCACATATTAGTTTTATGAACGCGTGCAAACCTAAGCCGTACTCTTTCTTGCCCACACAGTGGTGAATCAGGTCACCTCCTATCTCGAATCACACTCAGGGCACAGTGCTTCGGTCAATAGTGGCGGTCCTCTAGACAACATTTCGGAAGGCAACGATAACTCGGTACCAGAGACCCAACTAGAAAAGGAACTTGGAAGCTTGGGTATGCGATATCGATAAAAATGCACAGTTATAATAGTATATGTTTAAACAATACGTATAGGAACGTATATTTAAATATCTGTCCAGTTTGAATACGTTTATGTGTCGTTTCACAGGCTGAATATCTTGGTCAAGACATTTTTTCTTGCAGTCGTCCGCAATGAGGAATGCGCACATTCTTCAAAATTGTCAAAGCTTATATATATATATATATATATATATATATATATATATATATACTACTAATAATAATATATATATATATATATATATATATATATA